ATAATACCGCGTGCGGTTTTCTCCTTACGAGAAAGTGCTATGTCGCGCGACTCTCTAACGAGAACTTCGACAGGCTTGGCTATCTAAAAATGACTTTAACCCACACAGCACAGAAAGATTGCAGGAATATTGCAGAAATGTTACATTGCAAGATTGCAATATTGTAGCAACGTTGCGCAACATTGCTGCAACGTTTCTGGAGGATTGCAACTGCACCCTAGCGAAAAAATTTCTATAAATAACTACAAAAAATTGACTTGAAATAGAAATTTGTAGAAATTTTTATATCTTCGTTGGAACATTTATTTTTTTGTAAAAATATCTACAAAATAGTACCACAAATTACATTGTTCTCAAATCAAGAAATTTTTGTGAGTAATATTTCATGAAAATGTACAATTATGTAAAAATTAGTACAAAATTTTACTGGTTTTAAAAATTTGTGAAACAACAAAATCTTAAAGAATTAAAACATCTGCTTACTTATAGAATATTACAGAAATTAACAAAAGTGTTCCAATTCTAGCATTTTCATATTGATTTTCATAACACTTTAAATTTACGTAGAATTTTATAGATTCTGGCAGTTATATTTAATTTTCTTGTAGAATTTTGTAGAATTATTTCCGGCAGGGCAACGTTGAAATGTCCGCCCTCAGAGAGATTGCAGTGCAACATTATAGCAATGTTGCAGTGCAATATTTTTGGAATAATTTGTTGTTGTACACAAGCAAAGAATTTACTAATTACATATGCATCCGGGCCTTTTTCAATACACAGCAAGCTATTGCGAAGCAACCCAAGGAGATTATGTCGCTTCGCAATAGAGGGAGATTGCGAGCAACACCGCACTGATCAAGTACTTAATAATTCGCGCATTATTGGTATCAACGAAAATAACATTATGAAATTCTCGTAATTAGAAAAATTTTTTTAATAGAAAATATAGTATTTTTATTATTTTTGAAACATTGCTGCAATATTGCTATCGACAGTTTGCAATTTTATATCCCTGCAATGTCTCTGCAAGATTGCACTGTAATCAGCAAGATTGCAACGTTTCTGCAATGTAACTGCAACCATCTGTACTGTATGGGAAGTGTCCAATATTACTCTAAAATTTCTTAAGTAAACTTTTAACTTCTTTAAATAAACTCTTAAACTTGAAAGATTAAATTTAAAACCTTTAATTTCATTTAAAGTAAATTTTTCAAAGGAGAATGCTAGAGGTGGCGTATAATTTCTCTTGCGATAACAAAATATCATTAAATCGCTAGTCAACTTACTCGAGCGTAGGACTCCGTTTCATTATAATCGTGCGAGCTTTTTCGTAATCAAAATTGTTCCCGATGCACCACGTCATTTCCTGCACCCAGTGACTTCCTAAAATTCATTTGTACAAAGAAGAGATATTTGAGAAAACAAATTAGATATAATACCGTGATCAAATGAGAATTTGATAAAACATCGATAACATTTCTCGCGGCAAAAGTTTTGAACGTATCCCTAATTCAATCTTTTCATTTACGTGTTGAACAGTAAAGAATTAATAATTTTGCTCGTACTAACGCAATATTACAAATATTAATGGATTTATAGTTATGGATTAGTTAATCAGTTAATCAGAGTTTAAGTCATCCTAATTGCATTCAATGGAATTAATCATAATTTTTCCCAGTTTTTTCTATCGAGGAAGCTGCGATCGAGGAAGTCGGATTTTTCGTTTTTAACAAACGAATAAAATTCGTACGGCTCAAATGTGATAAACACAAATTTGAAGGAATAAAGGACTAAGAGCTGTGACAGGGTGTTAGTGTCTAAATATTTTATTCTTAAATTTATTGCGAAAAAATATTACCTCAGCCAGGGTTTGAACCTGGAAATTTATTTAGAATAAAATATTTAGACACTAATACCCTGTCACGGCTCTTAGTCCTTTATTCCTTTAAAATTTTCTTTTTTAATTGTTGCGCAATCGCGTTTACTTAGAGAATCACTTATACTTGCTTTACTATAATTGTAAGATATTCACCAGTTCGAGGAAACGAGATCATCCAGATGTCGTCATCGTACACTGGCATGTCACGTATCTTCTGCGCGTAGAGAACATATCTCGGCGGCATTAAGCAACCGCTAGGTTGCACCCTGAGAAGAGCGGGTTCCACCCCGAATAGCTCGTTTAACTTTTCTCCCACCTCGTCTTCCAAAGTCGAGAACGTAAGAGTGTTTTTATTCACTGCAAAGAAATGTAAGGCAAAGTCAAACGAGTAATTTTCCAGACAGCACGGCAAATTCGCAAAGTATTCTTAAAGTTTTCTTCCTTTTTGAATTGTAATTCTTCAGGAATTTATAGAAGAATACAATAAGAATAATTAGGGAAGTTACATGCACGATAATGAACTTCTGAGAAATACTTGAAGACGAACTGATTGTGGTTGATTCTTCAAGAATTCTTCAGATATTTAGTTATACTCCTCAGGTATTCTTGAAAATGAAATTTCTATAAACTCATGTTTCACCTTTGTGCTATCTGGCGTAAAGAAAAAAAGTCACCCCGACAATTCTGTATCTGAATACTCACTTGTTCCTCGATGTTTAATAACGTGCGGGTATCAAGATGTGGCGAATCTAACGCGAATAAAGCGGACTCGAGTACAGACTATACGCACTCTGTGGATGCTGTTGCACATGCGACTTGCGCAGAAATGAATGTACGCCCGGTTGTTTAAATCCGATGACCCACTGCCGCGACTGGGATACTTCGCACCGGTTCTTTTCCCTTTTCCTGCTCACCATTACTTTCATACTTTCATATTTGCCATGTAAATAAAGTCGTTCATTTCCGTTTGTCGCTTACATTGAATCACGTCGAGGCATTTAACGCGCTTCTTTATCGCGAATAGTATCAAGTACATTTGTATTTTTTTTCATTTATAACTACTGATTTTTTCCATTTGAATACAATCTTTGCGCGCGCGCCCGCGCGTGTGTGTGTAGTGTTATCGTATTTAAATTTTTTTTGAAACAATTAGAAATGTATCACAGGTCTCGAGTTAGGTGCTTTAGGATTTTTGCAATTCTCAATTCACAAATAATTTTATTCATGCGGAATTTCGTATTATTACTTTGTATTCGAAAATTATCTATTTAGCGCTTACTCAGTCACGTTTAATGATGCAATAATATCATCAAAATACACGTAAATGAATAATGTATAGGTACAATTCAAGATAGTGTAATGTATTTTTGCATTATTCATTATTCTAAATGCTGTGCCTTCCCAAACAGCACCAAGTCGACTATTAGTTGACTGTCAGTCGGCAGCAGAAGTCTAAAGTCGACTTCAAAGTCAAGCTGAATGTCAACTTATAGTCAACTAATAGTCGACAAATGACTCGACTATAGTCGGCTGTCAAGTCAGCCAAAAGACTATAACCTAAGACTATAAACTAAGACTTAGAAGTCGACTTTATGGCAATTAAAAGTCGACTTTATGATGATTAGAAGTGTACTTTATGGTGATCAAAAGTCTACTTTATGGCAATTAGAAGTCAACTTTTAGTCAATTTTATGTTATTTATATTAACTACTAAATGTTTAATAGTGACATCTTGAAAACCTGATTGAGTAAAATTTTTATATTTTAATTGTATAATATTTACAATATAGGG